TCTCAGTCATAAATGGCCTACTCCATATCCTTATACTGTGACCCTTGGTTCTAGACTCCACCGTCATCAAGGAACATTCTTCCTGTGTTTACCCTGTCTAGTTGTGTTGTAACTTTATAATTTTCTGAGATCCCTCTTTATTCTTCTAAACTCCAGTGAATATAGCCCTAACCAATCCAGTCTCACTCTGTTCTTCAGAACTCCCATCCCAGGAATCAGTGTGGTAAACCTTCATTCCACTCACTCCATAGACAAAACATCTTTTCTTAAATAAAGAGATCAAAACTGCATACAATACTCTAGGTGTGATCTCACCCAAGCCCTGTACGATTAGAGCAAGACATCCCCACATCTTTACTTGAATTGCCTTGCTATGAGGGTCAATACATCATTTGCCTTCATCACTGCCTGCTGTATTTCAGCAAGTGATGTACAAGGACACCCAAATTTCATTGTACCACTACTTTCTCAATCTATCACCATTCAGATAATAATCTGCTTTCCTATTGTTGCTACCAAAATGGATAACCTCACATTTATCCATATTATACATCATCTGTTATGCACTTGCCCACTCATTCAATTTGTCCAAATCACACTGAAACATCTCTGCATCCCTCTCACAGTTCATCCTCCCACACATCTTTGTGTTGTCTGCTAACTTGGAGATATTACAAAAGCAAAAAATTGCTGGAAAAACTTAGCAATTCTGCCAACCTCTGTTGAGGGAAAACAAAATTAATGATTCGGGTCCAGTGACATTTCTTCAGAGCAGATTTCAGGCTATCACAGTTCTTTGTTTTTTTTTGGAGATACTACATTTAGTTCCATCATCTAAACCATTAATAGATATTGTGAATAGATGGGGTCCAAGAACCTATCCCTGCAGTATCCCCTAGTCAGCATCTGCCACTCAGAAGACCTATGCGTTTCTATTCATTGTTTTTGTCTGCTAACTAGATTTATATCCATGTCAGTACACTACCCCCAATTCTATGAGCTTTAATTTTATATGCTAAGCTTATGAAGAACATTATTGAAAGATTTTTGAATGTCCAAGTAACCACTGGCTCCCTCTTATCAACTCTACTAATTATATCCTCAAAAGATTCCAGTAGATCTCTCAAGCATTGTTAATGGTTCTATCTTCCCCATCAGCTATTTCCTCAAAAAAAACCCATGATACCTCTGTCCTTGCAAACTACAGCTCCATCGTCAATCTATCTTTCTGAAAAGTCTTTAAACGTGTCTGTGCTTTCCAAATACACATCTATATTTTCAAGAAATCCATGCTTGAATCCTTCCAATCAATTTCCTGTCCTTCACAGTGCCAAATTGGCTTGAATCAGAGACACAAGTGACATTCTATGTAATTATGACAAATATAAAATTGCCCCACTTCATCTGTCTTGACCTGTCTGCAGGCTTTGACACAGTTGACAATACAATCCTGCTCCAATATCTCTCCACTTTGTTTGCTTGAGCAAGACTGCCATTGCCTGCTTCCTTCTTTACCTATAACCACAGCCACCTATAATGATTTCCTGCTCCTGCACCAGTATCTCCAGTGTGCCCAAGGATCTATCCTACCACCCATTTATTTTTCATTTACATGTTGACCCTCAGAAACACCATCAAAAAAAGTGTGCCAGTTTCTCATGTCCACTGACAATTTATATTTCTTATCAAGAGCATGAAATTTATATCCAGTGTCCAGTCCATCATTTATCTGATTGTGACAGACAACTATGAGCAAATTAGTTGCTGGTGGTTGTTAACATTTATGTTAATGATTTCGGTTCAAACATAAGAGGTGGGCAAAAAGGTTTGCAAATTCATGCACATATTGGCCATTTATTTGGCAGCAAGGAAGAAAACTTCACACTGAAGGAAGGTGATCTGATCAATTGAGCAGAAGAGTGGAAAGTAAAATTCAATCCGGAGAAACATAAGTAACGCATTTTGAAAAATGCAACCAGGCAAAATAATACACAATAACTGGGAGACTATTGAGTAGTGTGGAGGGGACAGAGTGACATTGGAGAGTATGCCTACAGATTTTCAAGGAAAGATTAATAAAAATGGCATGCTTTTCTTTATTCACACAGGCTAAAAATACAAGAGCAAGCAAGTTAAAGAATAGTATACAATACTAGTTGGTCAACAGCATGAGTATTTTGTACAGTTTTGATCACTACCATATTGCAGGAATGGCGTGGTTGCACTACGGACAGTACAGAAGAGATTTATGAAAATATTAAATAAAAACTGAAAGAACTACGGACGCTGTAAATCAGGAACAAAAACAGAAGTTGCTGGAAAAGCTCAGCAGGTCTGGCAGCATCTGCGAAGGAAAATCAGAGTTAACATTTCGGGTCTGAGGAAGGGTCATCAGATGTGAAATGTTAACTCCGATTTTTCTTCACAGATGCTGCCAGACCTGCTGAGCTTTTACAGCAACTTCTGCTTTTGTTCGTTGTTTATGAAAACATTGTTAGGCCTGGAAAATTGTAGCTATGAAGTTGGATCAGATTTGCAGTTGTTATTCTTGGAACAAGGTGGTTGATCAGTGACTTAATTGAGATGTATAAAATTAGCAGGACAAAATAGAGTAAATTGAAACAATCTATTAACCTTGGCAGAGGGATCAAAATCAAAGAGCATGAATTTAATAAATAAACTGCTAGAAGAGTTAGAGAGGAAATTAATAAAAATTTGTCACCCGAGGGTGGTAGGGACCAGGAACACTGCAAAGATGATACAGTAGAAACTATCATGTGCAACAAGTATTTAGATGTCTACAAAAGAGGCATCATGTCTACATTATCTTCATGACTATGGATTTAGTGCAGGTAGGTGGGCATGCACTGGGTAGTACTTTTTCAGCCAGAATGTGGTTAATCTGTGGAACTCATTTCAGCACAGGGCTATGGAGGACAAGTCATTGAGTGTATTTAGATAGATTCTTGATTACTACAGGGATCAAGGGTTACAGTGAGAAGGCAGGAGAATGGGGTTGAGAAACATATCAGCCATGATAGAATGATGGAGCAGACTCGATGGGCCAAATAGCATCCTCCTGCATCTATTCTGTATGGATTGAACAAAACATATTTCAAAAATACTTAATTGGCTGTAAAGCACTTTGGAACATACCATGGTCATGAATGATGCTGCACAAATGCAAGTCATTCTTTCCTTTCACGTACTGTTCACCCCTGTGCTCACTGACCGTGTGCACTGTCTTCCAACAAATCACCAAATACTGCAAGATCTGAACAATATTCAGGCTTAGGTTGATAGATGGCAGGTAAAATTCATGCCACACATATACCGGGCAATGACCATGTCCAATAAAAGATAATCTAACCACCACCCATTGACATTCAATAACATTCCCATTACTGAATACTCCTCTATCAACATCCTGGGGGGGTCACCATTGATCAGAAACTGAACTAGCTATATAAATGCAGCGGTTAGAAGAGCAGGTCAGAAGTTAGGAATACCACAGCGTGTAACTTACCTCCCAATTCTCCAAAGCTGATTCACCATCTACATGTCACAAGTCATGAATGTGATGGAATATTCCCCACTTGTCTGGTTGAGTATAGCTCTAACAATCATCATCATACAGAATAGCCTGCTTGATTGGCACTATATCCACAAATAAAGGGAATCAAGGGTTACGGGTAAAGGGCAGGAAAGAGGACATTAGGAATTTTGGATCAGGCTCAAGGGGTTGAATGGCCTACTCCTGTTCTGTTTTGTTATGGTTTTATCCACTCTCTCCATTACCAATTCTCAGTAGTAGCAACGTCTACCATCTACATATACACTGCAGAAATTCAATGATCCTTAGATACCACCTTCTAAACCCACAAACACTTATTTAGAAGGAAGAGAGCAGTGGGAATGTGAGAATACCACCACCTGCAAGTTCTCCTCTAAACAACCCACTGTCCTGACTTGAAAATGTAACACTATTCCTTCAATGTTGGGACAAAATCCTGAATTCGTTCCCTAATTGCCTATAACACATGGACTGCAGCAGATCAATTAGGCAGCTCACCTTCTAAAGGGCAACTAGGGGTGGACAATAAATACTGGCTCAGCCAGCAACACATGTCCCACAAGTGAATAACCAAAAAAAAGTAGAGCTTTTATTTAAAAAATTTTAACTTTGTTTTCAAATCCCACCCCAATCTCTGCACTCTTCACCAGCTGCAGAATGTCTTTTAGATCTGGTCTGAGTATCCCAAATTTTAACTGTTTCACAACTGGTGACTGTTCCTTTAGCTGACAAAGCCATACGCTTTGGCATTTCCTCCTCTAAACCCTTCACCTCTCCATCCCTCTCTTTTCCCAAGGGTTTGATCTGCTGCCTATATGGTACAGTATCAAATTTTGCTTGATAACACACCTGTGAAGCCTCTTGCAGTATTTTACTACATTAGAGTCATTATATAAATAGATGTTGTTGAAGTTCTGTCTTTGGAAAGGAGATCACCAAGGAGAAGAATGTAGATTAAAAACAATTAAAGTGTCAAGATAAATCCTGGAGATAATCCAGAGGTAATAGTGCACCGTTTAAATGCAAAACCTTTTAAGGCGTGTTGACAATAAGAAGTTTTAAAGAGTCATCTCAAGTTATTTTAAAATCATTTTAGTATAAGTACAACAATTTCTAATGGTAGACCGAAATTGCAAACTACATTCTCAGAAAAAAAGTCCAAAATGAATTTCATTTACAAATCGACAGATAGCCAATTTTAACCTACAAGGAAAATCTACTTTGTTTTCCCTGAAAATAGTGATTGAAATTCATGATCAGAAATTATTGTATCAAGTCCGTGGCCACGCAAGTAACTGAGCCCATGAAGAAAATAATTAAAGATCTGTGGACGTAAACGCTCAAAAACATTTACAGACTTTTAGGAATTTAATTTCTTCACAAGACTATCATCTATCGGTGAGAATACTTTATGTCTATTTCCCACCTTGCATTCAGCCGAACTAGTGTCCCAATTGGCTGTAGTTGTAACTGGTGTAGCCGTGACGGGAACCGTCCTTGTGTTAGAAGTACTATCGATAATCCTCTGGATCTCTAGCAACTCCCGCCTCAGAACCTGTTTCTGGTGGAAGGTAAAGGAAGGGTGGTTGGAAGCCATGGTAAACAGGAGCAGGAATTCGTCGCCAGTCCTGTCGTGAAGCTGAAGGCCATAGTTGTTGATGATGGAATCGATGTGGGTAAGGGTGCGGTACAGGACCCCGGACGCCTCCCTGTTGTCGGAACACAGCAAGGCCAAAGAGACGATCAGTTTGCTACGGACCACTTCGTCGGTCATGTTCGTCAAGCTGGCCAGGTCAGCCACGTTGTTCGCTTTGATCTCCGAGTCCCTGAGAGAATGATAGTCTTTCTTGGCCAAGTCCTCTAGGCAGGAGCCCAAAAAGCGAAGCTCCAAGGGGATGCAGAGATCGAGTAGCCCGCAAATGAAATCCACTCTCTGAGAGGAATTCAACTCACCGAACCAACGGTAAACCTCATCCCTCTGCAGCTGCTTGTGCATCATCTTCACCCACACAATCTCTGGGTTGACCGAGAACCCCCTCACTAATAGATCAGGTTAAAATATCAGCGCAACTTTCAGCTTCACCGCATTGTGGCTTCTTCGGCGTTCTCCCGCTTGTCAAGCAAGAATTTCCATTTTGATTCTGCAGAAGGTGGGGTGGGGGGGGGGGTGAAGACAGAGAGTGTGGAAAAAATGTACTTTTCCCTCGGTTGGGGGCAGGGTGGTTGGAGACAAACAGCTGTCTTAAACGATTGGATTCGTGCCGTGTAAGAACGCCGTCGGCTTTTTTCTTTTTCAGTCCATGGTTTTTCCACCGTCGCCTTCCTTCTCTCCCAGGTCTGTTCGCTGAAATGAATCGCTGGCGACCCCGTGTGTGACGCGCACTGTTTCTGACAGCGTTTTGTTGTCTCTTGTGTTTGACTCCAAGCGGCCGCGCGCACTGGCTGTTAACGCGCCGGCCCCACGCACGCGGACTGGCTGTCAAAAGCGCCGGCCCTGCGCACGCGCACTGCCGGCGCCGTGCCCGTCTTCCAACCTCCGGCCTCCCTGCGCGAGCCAATTAAATCAGCCCCTCTGCAAGAAGCGGCCTCCGATTGGCCAGCTAGACCGTCAATCTTCGAGACGTCGAAGCGGCTTGCCCCACCCTTTCCCATTAACAAAGAAAATCCGAACAAAAACAGAAGTTGCTGGAAAAGCACAGTCGGTCTGGCAGCGTCTGTGAAGAAAAACAAAATCAGGAGTTAATGTTTCGGGTCTGGTGACCCTTCCTCGTAACTCAAAATTCGAATGTCATTCGACAGTCCGCGTGCCCGTTTCTCATCCATCATTTACTCAATTTAAAAAAGATACACATTTTATGTTGACTTTCACTTTCAATTCCTCCGAAAGGATTTCGCTTTCTGACAAACGCGACGGCTCGAGTCCCGCCTTCGGCTTTCCCAATGGGACCGGTCTTCACAATCTGGTCACTCCAATGGCTGAATGTCGCTGTCAGTTCATGGCCTGGCAAACAGGTCGGGCCTCCTGAGATCATATTTGCCAGGCCCGAGTTGCTGAAGTTTGCGGGGTCGGCTTACACCCAGGGAACCTTCGTTCTATATTACGTAATGCAGTGCAAAAATAGAGGATAACTCATTTGAGAATGTCGAGCCTTTCACAAATGCATGAAATATAATTCCACAAAACTAGTAGAAAGGAAAGTGAACTAGGCTTTGTTGGTCAATTAAATTTTTACATCTTTTATGCGATGGCGTGAGGTATAATCTTGTGCTGATGGTGGCATGCATTTTTTCTTACACATTTGGACCATCTATCCGATTTCGAGACAGAGGAAATATTTTAGCAAATATATTTTGGATGGTACTATATGCTAATAAATATACAAAATATTGTAAATACTCAGCAAGTCTGGCAGCATCATTGATAAGAAACAGTTAATTTTTCAGGTCTGTGACCTGGTATACATCTGGTATTCATGACTAGTGGCTGTATGGTTCAACCAAAAAACCGTCAGCGGCTCCTTTACTTCCTAGCCCTATCAAGCCACAAAAACTTTCTTTGAGTTAGAAGTCCACATCGAGTTTGACGGTTTGTTGTGTTTCATTCTTTGCTTTTGCAGGAAATCGGCTTTTTGTGGACGTACTTGTCAAGAGAAGTAATGTGCCAATTTGTAGCTTTTCTTTCTTAGGTCGAAAACGCTTCCTTTTCGAACCTTAGGACTTTAGAATCAGGTCATTTGGCCGGTCTAGATGCTAGTTTCTTACTCCCCGTGTCCGGTTTGGTTCATGTATTTTATTAAAGAAATGCGCCACTCCCGAAGTGCCATATTTTCTTTGAGCTATGAAAACTCTCAGGTGAATGTAAAAGATTCAATGATAAAAAAGATTCAGTGACAATAATCAGAGAACAATATTTGGTTTTACTGGTGTCCTGAGCAACATTTATCCCTCAATCAACACCTAAAACAGATTTTCTTTCGTTGCAATGTGTGGCATATTGCTGTCTGCAAATTATTTGTTACAATTCCTACATTGTAACCATGACGAAGACCTTTGGTTGTTAAGCACTTTGGAATGTTCACAGTTCAGGAAAGGGGCTAATTAATGCTAAATTCCTTCTTTCTTTCAAAAGTAATTAATTAGCTGTGAAACACTTTGTGACATAGGGTAGTTGTGAACGAAGCTGTTGTATGAATTCCTGTTTTTCCTGTCACCCTTGAGCCACTATAGTTCCCTGTGTAACAAATTTATGAACTCTGCTTCAGTTGTGGTTTAAGTAAAGAATTCTATACACTCACTAACAAATCTATTTTCTCACACAATGTAACTGTTTAGTGCTCACCTTATATTTAAAACCCATACATTGTTTTCATATACCAGTGGAACAATCGATTGATATTTGCCTTAAACCCCGCAAAACCTTGAATATCTCTCTTGGGACACCCACGAACCTCTTCAACTCTAGTGAAAAAGTCCTAACTGTTCTTTGTAGAATCATAGAATGAGCAAACACAACAAGACGCCATCCAGGAGGCCGTATTTGCGCTGGCTCGTTAGTACCGCTATCCAGCTCATCCCACTCTTTGTTGCCAACTCTGCAAATTTAACACAGGCTGGATTTAAACAACAAGGTGAAAAGACAATGAGGTAGTTAGTCAAGGATATGTCTGAGACAGCAAGAAGTAAATGGAATAAGGAATTTGTATGCTTTGGGGTTGAACGGTGACACAAACCAGTACTGGATGCAAACCAGCACCTGTGATGCTATTAGCACCACATTCTAATCATCTGAGCTAACTAGCCAACTGTATTTTCTTGACAAGAGACACCAACTCAGAGATTTCCTGAAGTGTGCTAATTCTACCAGCACTCGCTAATTGCTCAGCCAACGCCGTCTGTGCTTTCTGTACGTAAAGACCTTCGGTACAGTGAACTGGCCATAGGGTCATGATCTCCTGGGCACTCATATCTCTTTTCCAAGAACACCTGCAAGTGAGATAAAAATGTAGCAAACATTGTCAACGGCAACTGGTAGATAGTTGCCTGTAGGATGAGCTGTGGAGGCTATCTGGAAGGTCATTGAAAGAGACGAACAGAAACAGCTTAACTAGTCAAGAAGGCGGTCCAGAGAAAACAGACCAGCTAATCCTCTACCTTCTCAACCCACTGTCTTTAGTTCACAGCAGCAACTATTATGCCAGAGTGGGGCTCTGGAGTACACCAAGCAATTTGATCACTAGCGCAAAACACTGTCTCACAACATGGGTAATTGCCAAAGTAATAAGTCACTATGTTACTTATCCTATTTTGGTATATTGTAGCTTTTTAGGACAACAAAATAGTATGTAATGTCATAAGTTTAAAAAAAACTCAAAAACATTTGTTCCAAATTTTTCTAATATTGTTGCTTCACGTTTGTTGCATATTAAAATGAGAACATGGTCAGTGTTACTGAACAGTACTACCTATAATATTACCATTAGCACTGGAAGCATTGTCAAGTTTTGTTCATTCTGGAACATTAAGTGAAGAAGAGTCATAATGGAGCCAAAATCTTAACTCTCTCTCTCTACAGATACTACCAGACCTGCTGAGTTCTTCCAGCACATTCTGCTTTTATTTCAAATCTGCTTTTAAGTAGAAATTAGTAACTTATTGGAGAACATTTTAAACAATGTACATGCACTTCCTTAAGTATATCACTCCTAATGCACTATTAAATGTAATCATAATCCATCTGTAGTGTACAATTTTATTCAAAAAGTAAGGTGGAAGCTTACAGGACAGTATCATACAGATGGGAATGCCACAGGGAAATATCCAAATTCTTTGAATGTCACATTTTAAAAAGATAATAGATAAAAACTTATGAAATGCAGAAGTGCCCAGTATGTATTTTTTGCACTACATCTAGAATTTTGACAAAAGTGCGATCCGTTTACTTTTTGCATGGAGTCATTGGCTCCACCGATTGCTCAGTTGTGAGTTTTAATTTTATGCAATGAATCACTTTTACATCTTAGGAGGTGTAATTGTTTGACAATGCACCAATACTTTGGGATACTCAAGTATAAATCAAATTAATTTTAATTAAAAGTTGAACTACCATGATCAGATTTAACTCATTCAAAATGTATAGAATTGCACAAATTTAAAATTGGGCCCTACAGTTCGGTACCCAGGATTTCAAAAAAAAACCCTTGAAAGTGGAAGATCAAATTGATAAGTGGCTTTACTGATATAGTTATAAAGTACAAAAGCACAAAACATTATAAATTATTGCTTGGGTCTCACGTGAGTATTGTTGCCAATTCTGGATGCCTTATTTTAAGAAGGATACTCAGATCTTGGTGACAGTGGAGACAAGCAAGGGAATAAGAATGGTTGGATAGTTATTTCAAAGAGCTGACACAGGTGCAAGGGGTAGAATAGCCTCTCCGTGCTGTAAAATTTTATATAATGTATCCTTGACTGTTTATATCGTTAGTTGTTGTGAATGCGTTTCTGGGGAGAGACAGTGTGATTCTAAGTTACTAGTCTTCCGTTGTTTAACACACAAGTGCAAAATTCTTTACTCCGCTCTTTTAGCAACAAATGAACTTTGAATGAGCATGAGATTAATTACACACCCCAACCACAGTCATGTGATAATGGCATCATCATTGATGATTGCACAATGTTTAGCACCATTTGTGATCCTTCAGATATTGAAGCAGTCCATGTTCACATGCAACAAGATCTGGACAAGATCCAGTCTTGGGCTGACAAGTGGCAAGTGACATTCATGCCACACATATGCCAGGTTATGACCATCACCAATAAGAGACCATCTAACCAACGTCCCTTGACCTTCATTGGTGTTACCATCACTGAATCCCCCACTATCGACATCCTGGGGGTTACCATTGACCAGAAACTCCACTGGACTCACCACATTAACACAGTGGCTACAAGAGCAGACCAGAAGCTAGGAATACTGCGGTGAGTAACTCACCTCCTGACTCCTCAAAACTTGTCCGCCATCTACAAGGCACAAGTCAGGAGTGTGATGGAATACTCCCCAGTTGCCTGGATGAGTGCAGTCCCAACAACACTCAAGAAGCTTGACACCATCCAGGACAAAGCAGCCCACGTGATTGGCACTACATCCACAAGCATTCACTCCCTCCAGCACTGGCGATCAGTAGCACCAGTGTGTACAATCTACAAGATGCACTGCAGAAATTCACCAAAGATCCTCAGACCTTCCAAACCCAAAACCACTTCCATCTAGAAGGACAAGGACATCAGACATATGAGAACACCACCACCTCCAGGTTCCCCTCCAAGTCACTGACTATCCTGACTTGGAAGTTATATCGCTGTTCCTTCACTGTTGCTGGGTCAAAATCCTGGAATTCCCCCCCTAATAGCATTGTGGGTCAACCCACAGCAGGAGGAATGCAGTTGTTCAAGAAGGCAGCTCACTACCACCTTCTCAAGGGCAACTAAGGATGGGCAAGAAATGCTGGCCAGCCAGCGACACCCACATCCCACAAATGAATAGGAAAAAAAATTATGTACATG